ATATGGTAGCGGTGGTGGTATATGGATACAGATTGGTGGTGGTATATGGATACGGATTGGTGGTGGTATATGGATATGGATTCAGAGCGGTGGCGGATAAGAAAAAGTGGTAGATGGGCGATGATGATGGTGCGGCGGCGGCGTGACAACTTATGACCAGAACTCGAAACTCTAAAGGACTAGACTCTAAGACCAGCAACTTGACACGACGATGCAACCGCAAATTCAACAAAGCAAAAACCCTAAAAAGATTATGCAAAGGCTCAGATTGGTTCGGATATGATGAACTAACCCTATTTTTTTGTGTGGCTTTTTTTTCGTGGACTGTAGGTATGAAGAACAGACTCGATCTAATTTACGAAAAACTGTAAAAATCTCACCGAGCAACCTGGAAATCTGATACCACTTGATAGAGGCTAAGGTGTCCCGATGTTTCGATGAGATGGTGGCTATCGTTTTCTGTGGGAGTCGACCTTGACGATCCGACTACGAACGTGCGAGATGTCGCGCCTTAGCAATCGCTAAACCAACTTCCGAGGGTTATTGACCACGCTGGAGCACGATCAACTTGACCACGAGGGTCTGTTTCCTGCGAGCAAACGAAAAACAAGCAAGAAACTGAGATTGCAATCGGGATATTGCGAATATAAGATGAAAGCTTTATTGATCAAGGTGAGGTTCTGTGACGTCTTGGTCTGGTCGTTGGACACAAACGAAGTACGCGAAGTTGCAGCTATGGCGAACTTTTAATCTAAACAAAACCCAAAGTCTAAACGACGCCCTAAGGGCTGTATATATGGAGGAAGAGGGGGGAATTTCGTGGCCCTTGAGGGTGGGGTCCGAAACCAACCCTAACTCTTGTTTCCCCACACATACGGACTCTAAAAATAGCCTATACTTAAGTATTTCGAAATTACATGGGCCTGGCCCATTAATAAGGTGACGCAGCACCTAGAATAGCCTATGGATGAATATTATGAAGTGGCATCTTGTATATTTCGTCCAAGGCTTCATGCACTCCTTATGGCGGCTTCAAAGTCCTGAAATCATCACTTGTAACTCCGTTCTTGATCCCCTTGCGCATGCCATCAACTCCATGCGTGTTCTTGCTCCAATGTTCATCCTTCTCCAAGATAGGCCCTTCATTTGTAAGCAAAACAAATGTATCCAATTTAGGCAGCATCATAATCTCATGAACATTAGAATCATTACCAAGAAACGAAAGTACCTGGTAATTTAATTGGCGTGGGCGAGCTCTAGTAATTGGTCCAGTATATGTAACAGTAGGGGTTGTGGGTGTAACAATGGTATTGATGTCCTCATCAGATGTTGCCTCACTAGTCCACTTGAAGTTTTTTATTTTCTTAAGCAGCCTGTAGAGAGGTAGTGCTTTTTCACCGAGGCGGGAGATGAAACGACTTAGAGCTGCCACGCAACCTACCAGCTTCTGGACGTGTTTGAGTTCCGTTGGTATTGCAAGCTGGGATAGACCTTGATTTTGGCCGGAGTGGCCTCAATTCCTCTATGGGAGACAATAAATCCAAGCAGTTTGCCAGCAGGGACTCCGAAGACACATTTGTCTGGGTTAAGCCATATGTCATAGGCCCGTAGGTTTTTGAAGGTCAAGCGGAGATCGTCCATGAGTTGATCGACTTTTTTGGTTTTAGTGACCACGTCATCGATGTATGTGATGACCCACAAGTATAGGGGATCTATCATAGTCCTTTCGATAAGTAAGAGTGTCGAACCCAACGAGGAGCAGAAGGAAATGATAAGCGGTTTTCAGCAAGGTATTCTCTGCAAGTACTGAAATAAGTGGTAACAGATAGTTTTGTGATAAGATAAATTGTAACGAGCAACAAGTAACAAAAGTAAATAAAGTGCAGCAAGGTGGCCCGATCCTTTTTGTAGGAAAGGACAAGCCGGAACAAACTCTTATATAAGGAAAAGCGCTCCCGAGGACACATGGGAATATCGTCAAGCTAGTTTTCATCACGTTCATATGATTCGTGTTCGATACTTTGATAATTTGATATGTGGGTGGACCGGTGCTTGGGTGCTATTCTTACTTGAACAAGCATCCCACTTATGATTAACCTCTATTGCAAGCATCCGCAACTACAACAAAAGTATTAAGGTAAACCTAACCATAGCATGAAACATATGGATCCAAATCAGCCCCTTACAAAGCAACGCATAAACTAGGTCTTAAGCTTCTGTCACTCTAGCAACCCATCATCTATTTATTACTTCCCAATGCCTTCCTCTAGGCCCAAATAATGGTGAAGTGTTATGTAGTCGACGTTCACATAACACCACTAGAGGCTAGACAACATACATCTTATCAAAAAATCAAACCGAATACCAAATTCACATGACTACTAATAGCAAGACTTCTCCCTTGTCCTCAGGAACAAACGTAATTACTCACAAAGCATATTCATGTTCATAATCAGAGGGGTAATAATATGCATATAGTATCTGAACATATGATCTTCCACCAATTAAACCAACTAGCATCAACTACAAGGAGTAATCAACACTACTAGCAACCTACTAGCACCAATCCCGGACTTTGAGACAAGAATTGGATACAAGAGATGAACTAGGGTTTGGAGATGAGATGGTGCTGGTGAAGATGTTGATGGAGATTGCCCTCTCCCGATGAGAGGAGCGTTGGTGATGACGATGGTGATGATTTCCCCCTCCCGGAGGGAAGTATCCCCGGCAGAACAGCTCTGCCAGAACTCTAGATTGGTTCCGCCAAGGTTCCGCCTCGTGGCGGCGGAGTCTCGTCCCGAAAAGTTCCCTCTGGTTTTTTTCTCATCGAAAGACTTCATATAGGAGAAGATGGACGTGGGAGAGCCACCAGGGGGCCCACGAGGGTGGGGGGCGCGCCCCCCACCCTCGTGAGCAAGGTGTGGGCCTCCTGGCCTTTATCTTTGGCGAGGGTTTTTCTTTATTTATTTTAAGATGTTCCGTGGAGTTTCAGGACTTTTGGAGTTGCGCAGAATAGGTCTCTAATATTTGCTCCTTTTCCAGCCCAGAATTCTAGCTGCCGGCATTCTCCCTCCTTATGTAAACCTTGTAAAATAAGAGAGAATAGCCATAAGTATTGTGACATAAAGTGAGATAACAACCCATAATGCAATAAATATCGATATAAAAGCATGATGCAAAATGGACGTATCAGTATGCCTCGACCGTTTTGCCGATCTGGTTTTCTAGGCATGTTTGAATCATGCATTGGTACGTGGCTCCTGCGTTCTTTAACCCAAAAGGTATCATGTTGAAGCAGAATGGCCCATAGGGGGCGATGAACGCGGTTGCAGCTTGGTCGGACTCCTTCATCTTTATTTGATGATATCCGGAGTATGCGTCGAGGAAGCATAGTGAGTCATGTCCGGCGGTGGCGTCGATGATCTGGTCTATGCGAGGTAGGGGGAAGGGATCCTTGGGGAAGGCCTTGTTTAGGTCCTTAAAGTCGATACAGAGTCTCCATGACTTGTCCTTCTTGGGTACCATGACCAGGTTTGCTAGCCACTCCGGGTGCTTTATTTCACAGATGAATCCGGCCTCCAGTAGTTTTGCCAACTCTTCACCCATAGCCTGTTGTTTAGGTTCGAAGAATCGACGTAGTGTCTGTTTGACTGGCTTGAAACCTTTGATGATGTTCAGGCTATCTATCAGGGGGTGTGAGACCAAGTATGTTTTCACCGCTTTTGGCCACCTGCCTTACCACCCAACAAGCTTGAAGCATGTGAGTTGGATTTGCATTAAGCATGGCCGAGTGTATAGGGCATTGTTTATCCAACAATTCGTCTAGAACCGTTTTGGGTTTATTTCTTTTTCTGACGGGCTCGTGTTCGGGCGAACCTCTTGCGTGCGACCGCTTTGCTTGGGTTTTCCTAGGCCTCGGGGCAGGGACTGACCCCCTACGCATCTGCTGTAACCTCCAGGTGCTCTCCATGGCGCAATATTTGCATACCATATCCGCTAATTTGGCAAAGCTTTGCACACGGCGGCGGGCGAGGGCATTTAAAATCCCTGCGTCCCGGCAATTGAGTCAGAATGCTTCGATTATTTCTTCGTCACGACAGTCGATTATGTTGTTTTTAACTAGGAGAAATCTGGCCCAATAATGATGGACCGTTTCTTCGGGCTGCTACTTGACGTGCAATAGGTCCCATATGTCTGGTCTTCTCGCATCCGGACAATATTCGACATGGGAGGTGGGTGGGAAATTTTTGGGCGATCTCGTCTTCTGTGAGTTTGGGGCGTCGGTAGCGTCGAGCCATCCCTGGGCTGTATCCAGATCTAATAGCGCAGTGGTCGGGTGAATGCCTGCATGGGTCACTTCAAGGTCAGATCCCGTATCACAGGCCGAGTCCGAACTTTCATCTTGACAGGTGTCCGCATTCGGGCTAGAGACCCGAGTGTATACTGTCATGAGCTTCGGAGATCGCGATCCCTCCGTCCTTTCTTTGATGGTAGCGACGAGGTGAGTGATGGGCGGGGTGCAGATCTCTCTATTGTCAGGTTTAAGCCTGATCTGGTTGTAGGCTGTAGGCCTACTGACGAAGATATCTCTATTCACCCCTCTGGCCGTAGGCTATATGCGAGCTGTCCTAGGAATCGACCCAAAAGGTCGTTTACCGAAGAGGTCCTTGCCGGAGGCATGCCTCCTCGGTGTTCGGCGGGACTTTCTTTGGGCACTTAGGTGGGGCCTGGTGTTAGGGCCAGATTCAGGCCTGAGTTGGTTCCCTTTACGCCCACTGAATCCGAGGTCAAGGCGCCGGGCTCAGCGGGTTCTTTGGAAGCAGGGCTTCGCCGAGGGCAGACGCCGGACTCTAGGCTCCGGTGGCTAGCTTCGTGATCGGCGGTGGGGTTTTCAACCGGGTTTAAACGTCCGGTGAGGTCGGCGCAGAAAGTGATGCTGCAGAACATAAAGATCTGGTCGGGGATGAAGATGTCCCTGGCTTGGGTGGGGTTTCCCATGAATGGCTCAACCATTGATCCTTTGGCGAACTCTCAATGAAAGCACCAATGTCGGTGTCAAAACCGGTGGATCTCGGGTAGGGGGTCCCGAGCTGTGGATCTAGGATCAATGGGGAACAAGGGACGATGAACACGGTGTTTACCCAGGTTCGGGCCCTCTCGAAGAGGTAATACCCTACGTCCTGCTTGATTGTATTGGATGTATAATATGGTTACAAAGTAGATCTACCTCGAGATCAGATGAGCTAAACCCTAAGTCGATGAGGTGACGGATGTAGCTCTACCCCTAAAGACTAAAACCCTCCGGTTTATATAGGCACCTGTAGGGTTAGGGTTACATGCGATCGGAATGAAGGAAAGATCACACTAATCTTGACTTGGAGGGCACACCATGACTCCGTAGATCTCCTGTCCGGTCACGGGTCTGCACTCAAGTTTGGGCTCCTAGTGGCCCACCAATTCGGCCCATAGGTAATGGGTCGACAGCTGAGGACCCGTTAGTCCAGGACTCCCTCACTTGCTCCACAAATAGTCCTTTAGATACTTAAATGCACCATATTTTGAGGACCCCACCTGCATGGGCATACCCAAATATTTTGCACTAAGGGTTTCATCTTGCTGAAGAAGGTAGATGACTTATCATGATTTATGCGTTGCCGAGATGCATGACAATAAGTGTTCAACACCTGGTTTACCTCATTAACTCCACTGGCATTTGCCTTAAAGAACAACAGGCTATCATCAGCGAATAATAAATGGTTGACTGGTGGCGTCGAAGTAGCCACCTAAAGACCATTCATGTTGGACGACTCATCTATAGATTTTAGGAGGCATGAAAGTCCTTTGCTGCTATGAAGTAAAGGTATAAAGAAATAGGGCCTCCCTATCGAATCCCACGAGATGGTTTAAACTCCTGTAATTTCTTACCATTAAAGAGCATTGAAAATTTTACTGAACTCACCATGTTCATTACAATTTCCACCCACTTTTAAGAAAACCCGGCTTCAACATTATCGCTTGCAAGTAATCCCACTCCACTCTATCATATATGTTCATCATATCCGGCTTCAGGGCATAATACCTGTTTCTCTCAGCTGTATTCCTCTTCATAAAATGGAGGCATTCATCGGCCGCAATTATATTGTCAGTAATGAGTCTACCTGAGATGAAGGTAGACTGCTCCTCTGAAATAATGTCTGCAACACTAATTTCTGCCTATTGGATATGACTTTGGAAGCAATCGTGTACAACACGTTGCATAAGGAAGTAGGTCTAAATTGTGTCAATTGGGTGGCTCACCTTTGGTATTAGAACCAGAATAGTCTCATTAATATTTTCAGCTGACTCAGTATCTTTAATGATGCGAAGAATAGCCTGGATGACATCAGCCCCACATACCTCCAAGTGGCGCTGAAAAAAATGTGCTGGAAATCTATCTAGCCCTGATAACCTAGTAGGAAACATCTAAAATAATCCGCTTTAACTTCCTCTTGAGTGTACCTGGCATTTAAAACACCATTCATTGCCGAAGTGACTCTAACTGGTACCACATTTAACACCTGGTCCATGTCATGAACTCCCTCGGATGCAGACTACCTATAGTGGAAGTAACATAGAGAGTAATATAGATGACAATTAAGCAAAAAATATGATCTGGCAGCTAATTAACGAGAAGAGAGGCAAATTGAGTAATATAGCTAGTTACTCGCACTATGAGTAACATCACACATACCAAGACAAGATGGGTCTACAACCTAATAAATGAAATGTTGCATGATATCACATATATGTTACTTCCCACTATAGAGGTAGTAACATAGACTTTTAGCATACGCATGTTACTCCCTCCATCCGGATTTATCAGGCCTCCTTATTTTGGGCTAAAGTTTGACCTAAAAATTTAACTAACAAAATGTAAACTATATGTCACAAAAATTATATTATTGGAAAGCTCTTTCAAATACAAATCCAACAGTATAATTTTTATAGCATATACTTTATATTCTAGTAGTCTAAGTCTGACCCAAAGTAGGAAGGGAACCAAGAATCCCGGCCAGAGGTAGTACTAGTCTAAGTTACTCCCCAATATGGATAGTCGTATACAAAGTTTTATAAATGCTCCCAGGAAAAACGTTTTCGGAAAGGACACGAATACAAACCGGCTCACTGCGCCGCGCTACTGGACCGGCCCGCCTCGGGCGTAGGCGAGGTGGGCCTATTCGGGCGTCCGTCGGTGTGCGAGTGTCGCGTTCGTGGGCTGGGGTTTATCCGAGGTCGTCACCGGTTCGGCTTCGGTCGGAGGGGTTTGCCGTTCCTCATAATAAAAAAAAAGGCCGGAGAGGTTTGCCATTGCCATTGCCTTCTCCGGCCGCTCTTGTTTCCGCTTCTCGAGGTTCCGGCCGTGCGGTCGTTGTTCGGTTCGGTGGGCGGTCCCGCAGCTGCGCGGGGTCGCTTCTGCGGGCTTGGTCGCCGTCGGCGGCGGCTGCTCGGTCGTCGTTGTCGGCGCGGTCGCCGGTCCTCTTTCTTGCCCCGCCCTTTGTTCTTCGTTCGGTGCCGTCGACGGGCAGGCGGGCCGTCCTTGGTGAGTGCTTTCGCTTCTCTATTGTATTTTCCCTATTGATTTGGGTGAACAGATTTGGGCTCGATAGCAGTGGGTGTTCGTTCCTACTATTATATTCGGTATTGATAGGCAATTTAGGGATTTTTTGTTAGGGGTTTGTGCATTGCTATTTGTCTGTGCATTGTTGGTCTATATGTTGATCCTCGTATCTTTAGGCCTGTATTCACATGTACCAGACGCCGACATACCCAGGCGGAGCGGAGGGTGCCGTTCCGTCTAGTTTGATGGATACGCCTCTTACGGAGGAAAGAAGGGCGGCTAGGCGAGTTCGCCGGAGGGTTTGCTCCTCTGGCTCGCCAACTTCTTTGAACCATGGCGAGTCAGACGATGCACAAGAAATGAGCACAAATTCTACCGAGATATCAAGCAGTGATTGCTATACTCAGTTGTCAAGTGAAAGTTCAGACGAAGGATGCGAAAATAGAAGCTCAGGCCATCGCAGAAAACGGCGCAAGACATCTGTGATATCCTCTGCATCCGAGCAATCAGGTAATGTTGTTTACTTGCTTGCACATCCGTGTCGAACTTTAAATTGCTATTATAGTCCATTTACCTGTGAACATTCTGTACAGGGCAAGACAGTCCTTCTGCATGCGAGTCTCTTGAGTCGGATGATGTTCAGATAACTCCAGGGAAAGATTATGTGTTACCGCAAAGGTGTGATCTATCTGACGCAGAAAAGAATAGAGTAGTTGTGCTTATCAAAGAAATCAAAGCTAAAGTTACTGTTTTTGTGGCTATCATGTTGAGGTCTTACTCTTCATATGTGGTAAGTTCACTGTTCTTTTCTGTTGAATGCACAGCTCACTGCTTTCAGTCTCAACTCTTTGTTGCTTGCTGATGTGCTACATTCATGTTTTCAATATTATTGAAGAATTATATTATCTGCAAACTTTCATGAACTTTTGGAGAACATACGGATAAAAAAAATATTTTTCTTGCTTGTCAATGGAAACAATACACTTTTTGGGTTCCAAGCTTAAGTTTGGTATATTATATTTTTTTGTTTGAAAGTGGCATAACATTCTGTTCCATCTGTGGTCAGACCATTCCTAAGGAATATGCTGCTGTGCACTTTCCACCTGAAAGTGCAACCATCACGCTTCGGAGTCCAGGCAAGAACAAGAAGTGGCATCCCAGATTCTACAAGAAAGGAACTATGATCAAGCTTACGGGCAGTTGGTTACACTTTGTGCGTGACAATGACGTGCATGAGGGAGATATCTGCATTTTTGTACCGGCAAAAGGTGGAAAACCATTCATGTTTACAGTCCATCTACTTCGCAAAGAAACAACTGATTCTCAAACTGAAGTTTCTCATGAATCTTCGGAGTGTGAGGACTCTCATGGTCAGCCGCCCTACATTTTACCATATGGAGCCCGTCTATCTCCCTCTCAGAGGAGTGCCGTTAAAAAGAAAGTGGACTCCATCCAATCTGAAGTTCCAATTTACGTGTCAATCATGACAAAGAGCAACCTTGGTTCCAGACACATGGTAGTAAGCTAATTCCTTTTTAATATTGAATTGTTACCTTTTGATCTTTATTAACTTTTATGAGTATATGATTCTTGACCTTCCTACAAGAAACTATATTTGGTTAACTATATAACTCCAAATTAAACCTAGAAATACAGTTTCTGATGTTTTAATGGAAAATTATTCAGTCTGTGACTAAAGTCTATACCATGTATCTAACTATCTATCTACGGAATACCAGGAATTGAGTAAACGATATGCCGCTGAACATCTCCCCCACAGAAATGTAACTTTGATGTTCCAGTACATGGGAAAGATATGGAATATCAATATGTTGTTTCATGATCGGAAGTACCCCAAAAGGTGGTACCTTATCGGAGGTTGGTCCAAATTTATCTCTGACAACAGTCTGCGATTAGGAGATATCTGTCTCTTTGAACTGAAAAAGGACGAGAAGGAGCTTACCGTGATAGTCCATCTACTTCGCAAAGAGAGTATTGATCACCCCTCCGGTGTAAGTCCTGTTCTGGACTCGAATTATGTGAGGGCAAGCACAATGATTGCCTCAACAGTGCGTGTTGGGGAGGAGCCAGATGACGGTATGACAGTATTACACAAGTATTAGTACTATAAAAATTCACATATTTTATTTCTGATTTATGTGAAAACTTGTTTAGAAGAAGAAACTGCCTCTTCAGGGCGTGAAGAACAAGGATTCGATGACGAGCCTATCGAGCATAACTATTCTGAGGGAGCCTCTAAGGTCTCCTATATGCTTTTCTATGCCAACTCCACTTCTCTTAAATGTTATGTTTGATATTCTTTAATAACATTCTGGTCCTTTTAAACATCTTGTTGAGTTGTTTTTTGTAATATCCTGGCTTGTTTCTCTTAGTACAATATTTCCATGTTCATCAGAGGACATAAAAGTTGTATTGTCAATTTTTTTGTACAGGCACACATGCCTACTGCTCCATGCTCAGAGAGTAACGTGTCTGGAATCAGCCTGTCACCGGAAGCTAGAGAGCAAGCTGCTGGTTGTTCAAAGTAATTCACTTAGCCATGCATAAATGCTTGTATTCATTTTATTACTAGATGCTACCTTGATGTCACTTGGCATGCATTTAATAGCCTACTCCCTCCGTCCTCAAATAAGTGGACGTTTAGCATTCCAAATTTGTCCACAAAAGAGTGTACTTTTATCTTCTCGATGCACTTTAAAGTAGAGAAAAAATGCTTCTTTTTCATCACACGAGAATCAAACCCAATAACATTCAACACATGGTCTCCACAGTTTTTACATGCATTTAGCTCATTGGAGATGATGGAATAAAAGAGGAGAGAGGTGGTGGCTTGCACCTTCCCAATGCATTTTCTACTCCACGCCATAATTTGTCTTGAAATTTCTATATGTACACTTATTTGAGGACGGAGGGAGTAACTGATTTTTTGATCACCTTATGTTTGCAGCAAAAGTTTTGCAACAGAATTTCCAAATAAGCCTAGCTCCACTATGGAACACAACAGGATTATCCACACTGACAGAGCGGCAGCATCAGAAGTTATTGGTTTGTCAGACTACAGGATCCACAACAGTTGTGATAGTATTGATTCACAAGGAGGAGAGTCTCTTGCTGTTCAACAGCAATCGAGTCCTAGTCCTGGAATTGGCAATTCAGTTAATCTGGTATGGGATAGCTTATTCTCTGGAACACCTTCGAAATGCTGTTTTTGCTTGTTTATATAATCCTCTTATTTCATCAGAGCAGGTGTTCTATTTTTACAAGTTTTTTTGTGCAGTGTCATATTTCTAGCATATGAGTTTTGTCAGAGCAGGTGTTCTATCATATGCAACAGATTTTTGAGTTTTGACCGTGACATATTCACAACCAATGTCGTGTGTATATAAGACTAGCAATATTGAACCTCCAGTAAGGTCTCCATGAGCTGTGTTGTTGATAGATGGCAGATTAGTTGTTTATAAGTTCTTGTTCTTCCTGACATACCAAAATACGAATTTAGGAGGCTAATATAGCATATGGTCTTTTTTGGCGTTCAAACATAGCAATGCGAATTTAGTTAGTCAGTCCCTTCCCAGCATTGCACAGCATAGCTATCAAGCTAGAACTGTGTGTAGTATGTTCCTTTTCATATGGAACACTCTTCGGAGCATGACTTTGCCCATTTGTTTGATTGTACTTAAGTCGTGGATATTCTGTCTGGTGCAGATTGCAGTTTATCTATCTCTCAGGGTCAGTGCTGAGCAGTGTTCATGTTTTAATTGGTGTTAATTCAGTGCTTCGTGGAGCCCTGTGGTGTACATTTCCTATCATTCTGCAAGTATTTTATTTTCTTGCTATTCTATTGTATACTCCGTACGTTCCAGAATAATTCATTGTATGACATGTATCAGGATTCTTCAAGTTGTGACCATAGAAGCGCTGAACATGTGGAGGGAGAGAGTGATGTTGCTTTACAGTCATCAGTAAGAGTTACAGGCCAGCAGGTAGGCGATGCTGAAAAGGAAGTTAATGCCAGCGGTGGAGAAAATACTCTTGCAGATCTACCTCATTTAGAGCCTCAAAATGTGGCAGCTGTGCCCACCCAGGCTGCATTGCCCATGCCTAAGGAAAAAACTGATACTCAGACAAATCGATCTGCCCAATCAGATGTAGCGCAAGCACAACCTCCACAAGGAGAGGTAGAGCAAGCAGGTCTGTCTGGTGTGGCAACGCCTCAGCCTTTACAACCTGAAATGCAAGCATCATTGTCTAGGGAAGTTGAAGCTCCGGCGAATGTTGTAATTCAGTCTGCTCAGCCTTTGGTGCTTGAAATGCAGCCATCAACCCCATTGTCAAATATTCCGCTCGAAAGAACACACCCAAATCGGGGTCAATCAAGTCGTCAACCAGAGGCCGCAGCTGGTTCTGCCCAGCCTGCACAACTCTTTCCGGCGCCGTCGATGATGTTTAATCACCCACCAATTGGTGATGAACCACTGAAAAATGAGCTGCACAGGTTACGGTTACACATTGACTCACTTGATAAAATCTATGAATTAAAGGTTTGCATTTTTTTCTCTTGCTTACATACATCTTGATTTTGAATTTGTCATGCTAATTCTGGATTCATCATGTTCTCATTGATTTCACTTTCACTTATGAACAGCAATCACAACTTCAGACAGAGTGCAGCCAAGAAATTGAGAAGATAAAACAAAAGTATGATTTGTTACTTGAGGAACGGGATTCTGTTCACCTTGAGCAAATGAAGACACTTGATGGTTTATTGGAGAAAGTTGTCTTCCACCAATCACTAGCTGCCGATTTCCGAGCCAAATTCATATCATCATCTGCAGCACAAGGTAATCAATATAGGCAATCATATTTGATGTGTAGAGAAGGATTTTGTTAACCAAATTTCTGTTGCCACGTCTTCTTTTTATCGTGGGTTTTGGATTCAAAGATTCAGTTTTCCTCTCTACATATTTGTTTTCTGTTCTTCAGTGTTTGGATGATCAATTATGCTTATGCTTTATTACTTTGTTTTCGTAATGAGTTCCTGAGCGCAAACGCCAAGCCTGTATGCTTGTCAAGTTATCGTGCTCTCATGGTTTGAATAGGCTCATGCTGAAAATAGTAACAGTAGTTGTGAATTAAGTTGATCCTCACAGATTTATTGATCACTAATGCTCATTTCTGTCTTTGCAGCAAAAGCCTATAGCCGTCCAATCCATCAGACACCTCAGGCTTCTCAGCAAGCACCCATGAGGCCGCCAGGTGTGACATCGACTTCGCCGCCAGCTGCGTGGTCATCAGCTGGTCGACCAGTAGTGCCGGGAGGTGCACAGCCATCACAGGTGGATCGACCATCAACACCAGCATCATCACAGGCGCCTCGTCCGCCATTGCCATTTCCACAAGTGGTCCGGCCTCCCATAAACCCTGGCAACCTTGTCAGAACAACAGGAGCTCCTACAAGTCACATGCCTCGAGGTCCACCACGTGGAGGCCATGGAGTTCCGAGCGCACCCGCTCCTCATCTTCAGCGCAGATTGCCGCCATGGGCGCATTCCACGTCCCCTGCAAATCAGAGGCAGCAGCAGCAGCATGCCACATCTGTAAGCTCGCAGTCTTCACATGCAGTCCCCCCTGTGAGCTCATCACCCTTGCCGCCGTCAAGGTCACAAGCAACTCACCATGGTTCGTCCACTCGGATGGATGTGGATGTGGTATGCCTGTCTGATGATGAGTGAGGAAGAGGACCTAGACTAATGACTAGAGAGTAGGGGTAGGGGAGCCTGACTAGGAATGGCCGATCAACCCATTCATTCGGCTCCATGTTTGTCCACCGCCGTAGTACCTATCCCCCTGTATATGACCGTCCTACCTTCTGTTGCTGTACATTGCGAACCACCAGGTGTTAAGAATGTGTACTGTTTGTCCTCTCCATGTTAATTATGGGTTCTCATCTCATGCTGAATTTCTTATGTTATTAATAGATGTGTTGTTGATATGTTTACGGCATTGATAAATTGATACACGAATGACCCAAGGGGGAAGCAAACTCCACACAACAGAGCAAGCCATGCTAATTTAATTTATGAACAATCATGAAAACCACCATATTTATTTTGATTTTCAAAGTTTTACATAAATTCTTTTGCTGCTTCTGTTTTTTCCTTGATGTTTTCGCTTCTAAAAGGTTCCATGGTTTTCAATTTTTACTCATATCTCAAAAATAATTACACGTTTTTTGAAATGAAATTTTACTGCTAATATTTGTTTTACTTGTTTCATGCACTGTCTTTTTTTTCGAGAAATGTGTAATTAGGATTGTCTTTTGTATTGACTAGGTGTACTGACCAAAGCCATTTTATAAACTGTAAGATCAATGTTGTAGAACTCAAACTGACACTCACCCAATAGGGTAACAAAGCTCCTATCTCTCAATCGACCGAGAATTAACATTCCTAGTCATTTTTACAAATTGATTCATATAAATTGAAAATATGTTTGCCATGTTGTGAAAATCTAGTATTTATCTATATCTAGTAAAAAATGGTAATATTTCTCTAAAACCATGTTCACCGTGACGTAACCTATTCATCTAGCGCAAGAAATGACTAGTGTTTTCTCTTATAGTCATAGTAAAAATATAATCTTGCACTGATCTCAATGTCAAATCGATGGCTTTCGATGTAGACTAAGATTTAACTAATTCTCAAGGGAATGAGAATTAGCACGAGATAAGAATATTACTCCCTCTATAAAGAAATATAAGAACGTTTAAGTCACTACTTTAGTTATCCAAACACTCTTATATTTCTTTACTGAGGGAGTACTAGTTTCTGTAAGTAGAACCAAAAAATGGACACAAGCCAGCATGTACAAATTAAACTATTGCAATAACAGAATGCCAATACAAGAATGAAGAATATAACCACCGTTACTAAAAAAAAAATCTGTGCTTCGGAAATCTAATCTTTGTGGTTCATTCCTGTGACAGACTGCCAGCTCTTAGAAACCATTAGATATGTCTTATCTGGGTTACTTTGAATTAGATGACACAACTCAAACCTCTCAACTCTCTAATGATGTCAAAGCTAGTATTTGAAGTCTGCATGTCCCGGTTAAGCAGAAGTGCACTGGAAGCAGGAACACAAGATCGAAATTCTTTCAGACTTAACAAGAGCAGCTAGTTCAGTAAAATACAGATCGCATTCGCGTGCAATACTTAAAGTTTCTTTTATGAATTTACAAGACATTAACAGCACAATACATAAGTAGTACATCACAAAACAAACAATGCTGTCCATCACCACTGGCAAATTTAACAGAAACGTCAAAATAGCATGACTATATAAGTGTCAACTACAGTTATACTCCCTCCGTTCCTAAATATTTGTCTTTCTAGACATTTCAAATGACTACTACATACGGATGTATATAGACATATTTTAGAGTGTAGATTCATTCATTTTGCTCTGTATATAGTCACTTGTTGAAATGCCTAGAAAGACAAGTATTTAGGAACGGAGGGAGTATATGTTACTCAGGGAATCCATTAAGATCTGATCAATGTTGTTGCCTTGCCAGTCGCGTTGTTCAAACAGCTGATTCTGCTCTGAAGGCTAGCGTCTCGTGACAGTCGCTCTCTCTGAAGCTGACATGCCTAGAGTAAATAGGCTCATCTGTGAAAGCGGCTAAAGCAGACGCATCAAACAGATGGAGTGAAGCATCTGCAAAGGAAGTATCGGTGAGTTTGGAACTTGTTCTAGGGATTTGCTATACAGAAGAATGCATACTACTCTACCCTAATCATGTAATAGGATCTTGACAAATAACATAGAGCAGTTGCTGATTAAAGCGGGGGAAATCGACAAAAGCTTTGGGTGTTGATGCACCAAGGAGAAGAAAATGCTACAGGGGGCATTTTATATTTGCAAACAGAAGATTAAAATGTACTGAGTAATTACCACTGGGTACAAAAGGTATGTCATAGTCCTCATCGACCATTGTCAAGGATGCTTGCTTTAATAACACTGATCCTGAAAATTCGTCTGCAGCGGTAGCCGGGCAATGGAGAGTGACTGAACCTGGTATGTCATTTGCAGCGGTGCTTACATGGTATTGTTCGGAGCCAGAACCAAGGTAAACACTGATGTCAAAAGACGCATCCTGGGAGAGTACAATGCACATAATGATGTCAGATGACAGATTATAGACCAATAGAAGTATTAAACATAGTGAAAACTTTGGGCCACCTTATTTTTTCCCAAAAAGAAAACTTCCCTCGGGCTTCATAGCCAGAGTATAACAAAGACAGATCTATACAAAAGTAATTTTGACAAAATGTAGTACAAATCCACAAAAATAGCATGGTCCCGAGTAAGATTGGGAATAATGACAATTTGCTCTGGAGGATATGGAAGTAGCTGAATTGCATTACAAATATACTTTTGCAGGAGCTATTGTATAACAGCATTACTTACTTCTTCATTTGGCGTCACTCGTATGGATCCAAGCCTTTTTAATGTGCACTGCTTGGAATGACTGCCTGAAGTACCTTGATGATCATCAGCTTCATGAACATTTCTCTCTGCGCAATCTGAGTTTTCATGCCAATAAAGCACTTCACTTGCTGGTTAAGAAGTTAATATACTGTTGTCAGGAAAAATGACAGGTATGTGGACGGTATTTACTCTGTTGAAGTCCTTGGAAAATACTCTGGTTGATTGGTCTTGGTTTTCCATTATCCATTACATAATCAGGCTGAAGGTTGGTCAAAGTTTCATATGCAACTTTGCTCCATTGTTCCACACGCCCCTGCAAACGTGAACCCCGATAAGTGTACATATATTTCAGAACATGTTTGTGAAAGCAAAGCAAGATTAACAACCTTTTCATCTTTCTGCAACACTAAGTTCGGAACCTTGAGGCCTTTTTTGATGATAAAGAAAATATTCGCTGGCCTCTGCATCCTGAGATGCACACAGCCAAGAACTTCATGTAACCGAATTATATGCCCATGTTATGAAGTGCATTGAGATAGCTGAGTGATTGAGGTTATACGTTTGCCGAATGTATCTGTTGTTTGATCTTTTGTCAAAGTCAACAACTGTCATGCGTAAAAAATTCAGAGACTTCCAAAAACTAATGATCTTTTGTTAAAAGAAGAAATGTTATGGTCCAGATAAAACTTATTTATTGTGAATTCTGATGCATTTCTCTTGTATGCATGGAGCTGTTATGATAAACGGAAAATTCATTATGCACAAGCTGCAATTCAGAAATTTCTAGTAGAAGCTCAAAGTCAGTATGAAAGGAACACCTGCATCGGTTTATCGAGGTCCTTGAAGGGAGTGTACTGGTCACTGGATGTGATTCCAACAATCCTATAGAAACAGTTGAAGAACAGGACAACGTCATGGCCTTCCACGATGAAAGAGTAAAGCTCCTTTCCAGGAACACACTTTTTAGCATGATCAACAATAGTCGTCCATACTAGCTTTGTGGCCTTGTTGAGAACCTAAATGCAGTGGGAAATAAACTTAACTTGCTATTATACTCAGTATCAAAGTGAACAAGAAGTGCAGAAGGAATTCATTTCTTACTTTGCGGAGAGTATGTTCATCCTTGTAATATGACGTCAAGAAGTCCTTCACAGAAAAGATGCCACTCCCTTTGAGTGCCTCATGGAAGACACCATCCTTCGAAATTTTCTGCAGGCGCCAAACATCATCATCCAGTGATGGAATGACATGCTTTCGGGATCCTGCAGGTACAAGAAACAGATTGATCACTAGTTTCAATATTCAAAAAAATTAAGGTAACACATCATCAAATTTTAAATCCATGCCTACCTTCTCCGCGACGATCCTTTACTGTGAAAGGTTCAGTTACCCCTTCCAGGATCCGTTCACCAAGCTCATCAACAACCATTACCCCAAGCCTGAACTTGCCACTCCTCATGAACTTGGAGTTATCAATAAAAGTAGCATCACGGAGATCAGCCTTGCCATCCTTCAGGCTAAGCTCCAGCTCCCCCGTCAGCACTGCCCCAACCTTGTCCCGTGGACGAACGATATGTCTGCTGAAATCCTCTAATGTCCAGCAATCTTTGTTATCTATGTTGAAGTCGCCATCAAGAACAACAATTTTGATCTTGGCAGAAAGAAGGCGACAAGAATTGTTCTCTTGTTGGTTGTTCTCCTCCAGGCATATCTTGAGAGGATCACCATTTGCTGTGCAGATTCCCTTCTTTGTGAAAATTTCATTACTCAAGCCATTCAGGAACCTAAGCTTGTATCTTGGAGGCTGGTTCTGGTCAACCAGTGGTTTGCACAAACTGTGTAACACGGCAGATGAAAAGGTCAGTGCAAGCATAAATGGTACTGTATTTAACATGGCAAAAATGTAGTAAAACAAACACTTGCTATATTATTAGTACTATTTTACTGGTTGGACAGAAAAGTGGTGTTTGTAGTCAGGAAATGCTTACCTAGGAGCACGGCTTAAGTAGCATGTAATTGCTTTAGTCACCACTTCTGGTATCTGCCAAAAGGAAGAGGAAAACTTTGAGTGGTTGACCTTCTGAAAAAGTCCAGAAATTGCCATGATAAAGTAAACTACTATCTCCATTCCTAAATATAAGACGTTTTGGCAGTTTAAATTGAACCAACAATATTTAGGAACAGAGGGAATACAAAAGAACAGGATCATGAAAGACTGCTATCTTCATAGTATTATGCATCACCAACACCAATAGCACCCTCTGTTAATGAAACATATAGTACATATCCTGTCATCTTGATTTCGGTTTAGACCAAATTTCGACGGCCACTGGAATTAGCTAAGGTTTTCAATCTGGCCGAAGATCAAGCGTTTTCGTCTGGATCTCGCTGAAACAAAATCACCGCAATTTCCAGAAAAAATCTCTTTCCAAAATGTCAATGGAATTTGAAATATCGCCTAGTGTTCCCAAAATGTCGCCTAGTGTTCCGTCACATCAGATTGCATTGCAGACAAATAGGTTCCGTTCAATAGACTAGTTAGTGAACCGCGTGCTACTGCTACATGATCAACGAGACGGTCAATCAATATATACCATGTAGTTTATCAAGAATCTTCATGGAGCGTGAGATGATTGATTACCCGGCTGATGGCAGACTCAATCACGGACTCAACCGCAGCCTCCACCCTCTGCACGCAGTTGGTGACCATCTCCTCCAGATGCCTGAATCCCCTGATCTCTCTGCAGAGTAATCAATCAAACGGTCAATATCTCTTACTACGAGCCGAAAGTTGAGACAAGAACGGATCAAGAAAGGGACGGAACGCGAGGGAAAGAAGGGAGACTCACAGGTCGAAGGAGCGACACCTCTTCTTCAGCGCTGGCGAACGCGCCGGCGACGGGGAGTCCCCTCCGCCGCCGCCCTCCAGCGGCCGCTTCGCCGGCATGGGCGGGCGCTAGCTAACTGGCTGCTCAGCGCGGCGGGAATCGGATGCAGGTCAAGCCAGGTAGTCTCGCTCGCTCGCTTGCTTGCTTGATTGCTGCTCTAGACTCTCTAGTCAATGTCAATGTGTGTGCTTCTGGTGCGGTGGGGAGTGGGAAGTGGGGAGTATCGGCGCTCGGCGGTATGTTTATATATGGCTCCGCTTGAGACGGGAAGGGAAATGTTCCGCACTTCTCCTCTCCACCTCCGGGGCGGGCGAGGCGAGCGACGCGGCCGGGGAGAAGATTCCTAGGAGAGACGCGGCCGGGGCGAACCGATGTGTGGTATCTTCGTCCATCAGGATCGAAGTCCTGAACTTAATTTTTTTTTGAAAGCATTTATTTTAGGCTTTCGGTGATGTTTGTTAAGAGCATTTTCAACAGACGTGCGGTTACGCGGCGCACTAATTTTTTTTTGCAGCGCTGAAATATCATTTCCGCACGGTGGGTTGATGTTTTAGTTTACCAGAAGTGTTATATTTTGCGTTGTAGGTAGCGCTTTAGCAGGCGCGCTAAATTACAGAGCGCCCAACACAAACAATATTTCTCATTCAACATAAAACTAAAAAGATTAAACACAAAAAAAAATCAACAATAAATAGTTCAATTATTATTAAAACTCAAACAAATAGTTTATCTTCAATACAACAAATAGTTCATGAACAATACAACAAAAGTCAACAACACAACAAACATACAACATCAAACTAGTTTTGTCGCTCATTCGATGACCACCATTTCTCAATTAGATTTTTGAAGGTCATCATGCGTTTCGGCACGTCGAATGACATTGATAGGAGGCAACAAAGCGGGCCACCCTCGCAGCCCTCCTTCGCACTCGCACGGGATGTCCCATCAACTCATACCGAGAATAATCTAAATCTTGCCCACGTTCATTCTCGATGATCATGTTATGCATGATCACAGAAGCGCTCATGATGTACCAAATGATCTTTTGATCCCAAAATCTAGTCGGTCCTCTCACAATAGCAAATTGGGCTTAGAAAATCCCAAAAGCTCTCTCCGCATCTTTCCTAGCCGCCGCCCGAGCATTGTGAGAATCAAGATTTTTCTTACCTTGCGGTGCCGTTAACGGCTTCACAAATGTTTGCCACCTTGGGTAGATGCCATCCGCAAGATAATAGCCATAGTTGTATATATGACCATTTTTACAAACTCCACTGGTGGAGTTTCACCATTTGCAATCCTATTCATGAGTGGTGACCATTGAGGAACATTGATGTCATTGCAAGATCCAGGCATTCCGAAAAAACATGCCAAATCCAAGTCTCATAATCGGCCACTACTTCAAGGATTATAGTGGAACCCTTTTTCTGGCCATGGAATTGTCCATGACATGCCTTAGGACAGTTCTTCCAACTATAATGCATGCAATCTATTGAGCCAAGCATACCTGATAACCCGCGAGCTTTGTTTATCGCCAAAAGCCTTGCAATGTCTTCAGCATTGGGAGCTCTCAAATATTCCGGACCAAACACTTGCACAATTCCAACTACAAAGCACTTGACACACATGATGGCTTGACTTTCACCCATGGCCAAGTGGTCATCAACTAGATCTGTCGGAATACCATATGCCAACATACGCAGAGCGGCGGTCACCTATTGAAAGGTGCTATGCCCGAGTTCTCGGGTGGCATTCCTCCTTTGCTGAAAAAACGATCATGGCTCGCCAGTTTCTCCGCAATGTGTTTGAACAACTCGATGCTCGTCCTAAAACAGCGCCGAAAGTAGGACTCAGGGTACGTGGGATTCTCCACAAAATAGTTCCTCATAAATTTGTTGTGGGCATCGATCCTTTACGTCCATAATTTCCGACGATCGAAAACCGAACCACTGTGCGTCAGCTTTTTATTGGCGTGCATAGCTAGGATCATTGCAACGTCCCCCTCCTCTTGAAGATCAAATTCTTCATCGGAAGAATCATAGGACGAACTCATCTACAAACTTGAATTTATACTAATTTAAAACTACAAACAACATGCACCAAATTCATCTACAAATGTAAAGTTAGAAGAAATATATACCTTGCAAGTATTTTCAAACACCTTGTGGGCATCGAGCTGCAAACGGCTGCCGATCACTATTCGTCCGAGGAACGGTGCACTCGAGGGGCGGCAGCGAGGAGAGAAGCAGCGGCGGCCACCGGGAAAAGCATGGGAAGTAGTGGCGTGCTAGGCATAGGCGGGGGAAGCACAGACGGGTCATCCAAGCGAATGAGGGAAGGTGCGGGCGGAGGCGCCAGCTGTCGGTGTCAAAACCAGCGGATCTCGGATAGGGGGTCCCGAACTGTGCGTCTAGGATCGATGGTAACAGGAGATGATACGTCCATTTTGCATCATGCTTTTATATCGACATTTATTGCAATATTACACATTATGTCACAATACTTATGCCTATTCTCTCTTATTTTACAAGGTTTACATAAAGAGGGGGAATGCCGGCAGCTGGAATTCTAGGCTGGAAAAGGAGCAAATATTAGAGACCTATTCTGCACAGCTCCAAAAGTCCTGAAATTCACGGAAGTTATTTTTAGAATATATAAAAAATACTGAGCGAAGAAAGCACCAGAGGGGGCCACCCACCAGCCACGAGGGTGGGAGGCGCGCCCTACCCCCTGGGCGTGCCCCCCTGCCTCGTGGGCCCCCTGGTGACCCTCCGATGCCCATCTTTGGCTATATGGAGTCTTTCGTCCGAGAAAAAAATAATAAGCAAGCTTACGGGACGAAAATCCGCCGCCACGAGGCGGAACCTTGGCGGAACCAATCTAGGGCTCCAGCGGAGCTGTTCTGCCGGGGAAACTTCCCCCCGGAAGGGGGAAATCATCACCAACGATCCTCTCATCGGGAGGGGGTCAATCTCCATCAACATCTTCACCAACACCATCTCATCTCAAACCCTAGTTCATCTCTTGTATCCAATCTTTGTATCCAAACCTCAGATTGATACATGTGGGTTGCTAGTAGTGTTGATTACTCCTTGTAGTTGATGCTAGTTGGTTTACTTGGTGGAAGATTATATGTTCAGATCCATTATGCATATTAATACCCCTCTGATTATGAGCATGAATATGCTTTGTGAGTAGTTACGTTTGTTCCTGAGGACATGGGAGAAGTCTTGCTATTAGTAGTCATGTGAATTTGGTATTCGTTCGATATTTTGATGAGATGTATGTTGTCATCCCTCTAGTGGTGTCATGTGAATGTCGACTACATGACACTTCACGCTTGTTTGGGCCTAGAGGGAGGCATTGGGAAGTAATAAGTAGATGATGGGTTGGTAGAGTGACAGACGCTTAAACCCTAGTTTATGCGTTGCTTCGTAAGGGGTTGATTTGTATTCATATGTTTGATGCTATGGTTAGGTTTACCTTAATATTTCTGTTGTAGTTGTGGATGCTTGCAATAGGGGTTAATCATAAGTGGGATGCTTGTCCAAGTAAGGATAGTACCCAAGCACCGGTCCACCTACATATCAAATTATCAAAGTACCGAACGCGAATCATACGATCGTGATGAAAACTAGCTTGACGATAATTCCCATGTGTCCTCGGGAGCGTTTTCCTTCATATAAGAGTTTGTCCAGGCTTGTCCTTTCCTACAAAAAGGATTGGGCCATCTTGCTGCACCTTATTTACTTTTATTACTTGCTACTCGTTACCAATTACCTTATCACAAAACTATCTGTTACCGATAATTTCAATGCTTGCAGAGAATACCTTACTGAAACGACTTATCATTTCCTTCTGCTCCTCATTGGGTTCGACACTCTTACTTATCAAAATGACTATGATAGATCCCCTATACTTGTGGGTCATCAATATTCTTTTCTGGCGCCGTTGCCAGGGAGTGAAGCGCCTTTGGTAGGTGGAATTTGGTAAGGAAAAATTTATATAGTGTGCTGAAATTTACTGTCACTTGTTACTGTGGAACATAATCCTTTGAGGGGTTTGTTCGGGGTATCTTCACCTTGTCCGGAATGACAATTAGTTACCCCTCAACCTACTGAACCTACTGAAAATGTTTACTTTGAAATTCCTGCGGGTATGATAGAGAAACTGCTAGCTAATCCTTTTGCAGGAGATGAAACATTGCATCCCGATTTGCACTTAATCTATGTGGATGAAGTTTTTGGATTATTTAAGCTTGCAGGTATGCCCTATAATGTTATCAAGAAGAAGGTCTTCCCTTTATCTTTGAAGGGAGATGCATTGACATGGTATAGGCTATGTGATGATATGGGATCATGGGACTATAAGCGATTGAAATTGGAATTTCACCAGAAGTTTTATCCTATTGTAATTCCCGAATAATTAGGCTACAGTAAAACTCTCCTAATGATGCCATGTCATCTGTGATTACTATTGCTAAACTTTCGTTAGTTCAAACCGATTCAAAAATCAGTTCAGAAAAATGGCAAACAACAAAAGTTTTTAAAAGTTGAAACAAAAATGTTCGGTCAGTGCCAAAAATGGCATAGGTAATTATGGTGAAGTAAACACATTTTTAGAAAATGCCTAAATACTTTAAAATGAAATAAAACAGAAAAGAAAATAAATAAAAGAAAGAAATTAAAAAAACAAAAACAAAAAAGGGAAGCCCCCCTGGACCAGGCGGCCCAGCTCACAGGCCCGCTGGCCCACCTGGCCCAGCTGGCCACACCCGGCCCGGCTCCCCTGCCTCGTCCCCTTCTTGTTCCCCCGACCAGGGTCGGAACAGGGGCGCGTCGCCACCGAACCCCCCTCGCCGGCGTCGAGGAGAGGATAAGGCCGCCACGCCCCCGCCTCCTCGATCCCGCCTCCCACTCGCCCCCATGCTCTCTCTCTCTCTCTCGGTTCCTGCGCCTCTCCCTTCCCCCTCAGATCCACCGCGCCGCTGTAACACCCCGGATGTAACTTTCCCTATTTGTACTCCAACTCTTGCCGTTTCCGGCGTTAAGTTATATTT